GGGGGGGGGGGGGGATGGTTTGGCACAGACAGACACCGGGTAGGGCTCCCCCTCCGCCTCCAGACAACGCAGGCACCCATTCAGCGCAAAAGTCCCCTTCCGGGTGCCCCCTCCGCCACAGCATCTTCCCCAAGCAGCCTCTGCCAGGGTTCCCCCCCCCCAATCTCCCACCCCATCCTCCCCATCCCCATGGCCTGCAGCTTCCCCCTTCGACATGGGCCCCCCTTCTCAGAGTGCAGGGATGCCACCCCCTCTTCTGATCACCCCATTGCCAGCCCCATCTCTCTGCCCTCCCCCAACTCTCCTGTGGGGCAGAAAGGAGCCCGCAGAAGCACCAACAGCAGGCAGCTCAAACAAGTGAGCCCAGCTACGCAATACAATCCAGATGTAAAAGTCTTGCACATCACTATCATCATCACAAACCCAACACAAAGATTATGGCGGCTAATGGCGCAGGGGGGGAGCATAGGATGGGATCTGCCAAAATTTTGCCGCATCTCCCCAGTGAGACACTCCCCCCACCCTGGAAAACAGGAAGTGGGTGGGGAGCAGAGAGCCCCCCCCCATCCGACTCACAGGCGGTGCCTCTCTCTGGCCGTGGCATGAAACCACCCCCACTCCCCGGGAATAGCCCTTGGGAGGCCTAGAGATGCCAATCGCTCCCCATGCCCTTGGAGGTGCTACAGGCAGACCAGGAGGGGCAAGTCCAGTGGGGCTGGGGGGAGGGCGAGGGGGAAGGGCCAAGGCAACCTCCTCCCCCCCCTGCAATGCCTGCTGCCCTTTGAAGTCCACAGTATATCCCATCCACCCCCACCCTGTCCTGCAGCCAGCGGGCAATGGCGCAAGCAGTAGACTTGCTGGCCGTGGGACGGTCGGGGGGGGGGGAGAAAGTGGGCCCCTCCCACTCCGAAAGCATGCACCCCAGCTTTTCTGCCCTTTACCCCTTCGCACACAGGGCTCCTTCCTCCTGCGCTCCCCCCACCCGCCCACTGCTCCCTTGCTCGCTGGCCTCCTGGCTCACCCACCTGTGCTGCCCTTTGCTGCTGCTGCGGCCACTGACCCCCCCCTGCCCAGAAAGACCAAAGCAGGACAGAAGGCACTCTGATCAAGGCTAGTCCAAATGGGTGTGTGTGTGTGTGTGTGTGCGGGGGGGGGCTGTCCGGCCAGCACAGCCACATTCCAGCCCCAGAGGAAGGTGACCCACCTGCCTCTCCTCTGCCTTCCCACAGGATCCCACCAGCAGGGTCTCCCCATAAAAGATCTCAATGGGGGGGGGTGCCTGTCTG